AATCGTCTCCAACGTGGTGACCTCTCTCTTGAAGCTTACGAAAATGTTTCAATCTGGCATGTGCCTATTTTGGCAATGACTGCTGATGTGATTCAGGCTACAAATGAAGAGTGTCTGAAGTGCGGAATGGATGGATATGTCTCCAAACCATTCGAGGCCGAGCAGGTATATACGGAAGTTTCCCGCTTTTTTCATGCAGAGTCGAACGAAGATTATTGGGAAGAGTCTTCTGATTGATGCTCACGATGATGCAAGCTGAAGGCGCACCTTAGAGTGTTCAAATTTGTAGTAAAATTTTCTACGACTGTGAGTATGCTATTGAAGATCTTTCTTTTCTTTTTCAAATTATGACTGCTAATCTTGATTGTGTTCTCATCTGCATTGTTCTTACTCCAGGCTTCAATTGAACCACGAATCGTCAAATATTCTTGGTGGGATGTCGTCGAATGTAGCTAAATCTGACGCAGTCGGAGAGCAAATTTGCAAATATTGTGAAAAATCGCATTCTTTATCAACAAAGTAGCGCACGATTTAGGATGATGGACAGTAATAGAGTCGACTATAGCAGGTAGAAACTGGGACGAGGCCAATGTACTTATTTGTATGGATTGATTTGTAGCGTGCAAAATGTTTGTTCGTTATAGAACGTAAAGGAGCAATCTTAAAGAACAGGCTCTTTTTTCATTTTTTTTTTCCCGAATGTTCTTCTCGCATTTCTTTTTATTTATAAACAAAGGATAAGCAGCAGAAATCTAAATTGACATTGAACTTCAAAAGTTTCCTGAACTTTTCCGAATGTTTTAAAAGATAATGAAGTCGATGAACTTATAAAAATGTTATCACATTTATTATTTCATTCAGTCTATTAAATTTTAAAATAACATTTTGATAGGTGCAGCAATTCGTATGACTTTCAAAGTTCAATGGTAAATGAATAACATTTAGCCCCTGTTTGGTAGTGTTAAAAAATCTGATTAAAATTTATGTTAAAGTCCACAATTAATTTTAACTATACATTTTATAGAATCCAAATCTTTTCAACTATTCATTCGATCAATTTTTATCAAATTTGCTAAAAAATATGATTTTAATCTTTATCGAACAGAGAAAATTTGGTTCTCAAATTCATTTCAACTACGTAATAAAATATTTTGCATGTAGTCTCATAACTTTTTTCCTATTTTTTAAGCTCATATTATCCAAAAATATCACTATTGCGAAATTCATTTTCTTAAAACACTCTTTAATTGAGGCCAAACTGGGGTTAATTTAAATGACTTTGAAAATATAAGGAAAAACTCGATAATTTTGACCAATCGAGAATCAATTTTATGCCAAAATATTCGAAGTAGCTTGGCTTATCTTAAGGATTCCAACTTCCCAATCTTAGGCCTAATTATATCGACATCGATAACTCTACTGTGGTGACGGAGTAAGAGTTTAATCTAATTTTTCTGTAATTGAGTGATCATTTGTAAAATCACTATAAACTTTTGTGACTAATGAAATTAAAATCAATTTGAATTTTTTACATGAAATTAAAATAATACTATTCATAATTAGTAATTGCAGTACTCGTCCTATCTGACATTTTATTATTTGAGACATTGGTTTTTTGCAATATAATTGTCTCAAATGACAAGCTAATTCTCATATAACAAGTTTTCATATCATTACTCAAGAAATTAACTAAAAAGAATACTCTCTCTTCTTAAAAATCTTTAATTAACAAACATATATATATAAAGAAATGATTTAAGGAGTATTGGTGCTCATCTTATTTTAAGAATCTGTGATGTGTCATATCAATTTATTAGTTGATAGATTTTGCCAAATTCAACATTTGAATTAAATTTATTATCAACCAATGAATTAGTATGATACATTATCGATATTTATGTCCCATTTGGTACCCATTTTTTTTCAAAATATATTTTTCTCTCTCTTCTTTTTAACTACACATTCTTTATTAAAATAATATTACACGTAAATAAAAAACTTTTCCTTATTTTTCAACCACACATTTCTCATCGATTTACTATTCAAAAATATATTTTCACATAAAAATATCTCCCAAACACCCTCTAGTATAAGATGGGCATGGGTGCTCATTAGATCATTTCTCCAAATGTGTGTGTATATATATTTGGAAAGATAAAATTGAAATTCGAAATAAAGACGGGCGGGCGTTCATTACACGCCACACCTCTATTTGACGAATTTATCCTCCGACCATCTTTAAATATTCCCGCCGGAAGGGCTAAACGAAAAAAGATGGATCCTGATGCTTTATCCAAGGCTTTCGTGGAGCACTACTACTCGACGTTCGATGCGAATCGAGCCGCGTTGGCGGGCCTGTACCAGGAGGCTTCAATGCTCACTTTCGAGGGCCAGAAAATCCAGGGGGCCCAAAATATTACCGACAAGCTCGCGGGCCTACCGTTCCAGCAATGCCAGCACCAGATCACGACCGTAGATTGCCAGCCGTCGGGCCCCGCTGGTGGCATGATTGTGTTTGTCTCCGGTAATCTCCTGCTTGCTGGCGAACAGCACCCCCTCAAGTTCAGCCAGGTATTTTACCCGTTTATTTGTTTTGATGTTTATGTATTAATTATGTTCTTGAATGCAGTCTTTGTTAGTTTTTATTGGAACATACTTAATGCTATTTTTAGGTCTTTCTGATTGAGAAAATTATATTATAAATACAGACATGGGCTCGAAAAAGCTAAATCCGGGGTTTTAGAGGTTGATGTCTCTACTTGAAGTTTGTTTTCAAAATGAATTAAATTGATTGCATTACCAATGGGTTTTATAAACTGTGATTTTCAATTTATTTTAGGTCTTCTTTGATTGACAAGTGAATCCTTATGCTCTTAAAATAGAGTCATTGTTTGTATTACCAATTCTTGGGACGAATATTTAAATGCTGAATCTTGAACAGATTGTTTGCCTTTGAATGTTTCTTATAGATAATGCATATTGAAATGGGAAATTCCAAACACATAATAGATGCAAAGATAGATGGTAAATTTGGTATCTTGTTATTCCAGCTCATTTCCTTCCTCTTTTAGTGGTGCGAGGAAAAACCTTTTGTGCAGGAAAGTGAGTAATATAAAAATTGGCCTTGAGAGTTTTAATCAGCTAATTCGATAGTTAGGTGCACATCTTATCCTTTCGCGTGGGCTCGGTTTGGTTTGTGTTGAATGTTGGCAGTTATTCGTTTGGCAAATCATGGAACACTTTTTCAAGTTGTGTTTCTGGTATTAAACATGGAGAGTAACAATGTCAATGAGTCTGAGTTTAGATTTACTTTGAAGTAGATGTAGGAATGAGGCCCCCCGTAACCAGCTCTAAGAGTGAGACAGTGGCAAGGAGTGAAGAGAGCCCTAGGAGGAGGGCGCTTGAACGGTGGAGTTAGAGCGTTTAGAAGCTCCTTTAGTAGCTCTAGAGTTCCTTCAGCCCTCAAAGTTCTATAAGGAGCCTTTCGGACCCTAACTCCATTCAATGTTTGTTGAACGAATTTGTTGTTTGCAGATGTTCCATTTGATGCCGACACCTCAGGGAAGCTTTTACGTGTTGAACGACCTCTTTCGCTTGAACTATGCATGAGGATGTGGATCGGAGACATCTTTCGCTTGAAACATCTGTTTGGAAATGAAACCTAAAGCTTTTCTTTTTCTTTTTTAAAATTGGCCCACTTGGTAGTTTGTATTGCTTTTCATTATTAAATAATTGCTAATATGACTTCTTGTTCCTGATTTGCCTGCTTTCCAGTCCCTTTGCTGTATTCGTTTAAAATTTACAGTGACCGTTGCCATTATTGGCTGGTGAGAATTCTGCATTTTTATGGCAAAAATAATAATTTCTAGCAAGTAAAATTTATGCATCGCATTTGCAACACACTTTGCATGAAAGCTATAGCCTATACCTCAAAGAGGAGGTGCAGTCCACCCAAAATCAAGTCTGCGAATCAACCCAAGCTCACTCCCTTTCAGCCCACCCTCATCTCAACTTTCAAGTAAAAATTCTAATTCCACAAAAATTGCTCATCCCTCGAATAAATTGCTAGCCATAAGCGTTTCAAGTGAAACTTATCCATAATCCATGTAATTCCTTTTTCAGGAAATCAGATGTACACATCAATTGCTTCAATTACGAATCCAACCATTTATCACAAGTACTATCAAGCCCCTGTGTGACAAAGCTTTTTGAGATTATAAGTTGGTAAATCTCATGAAATGTGTGGGTACGTTAAACAACCAAGATTTAATTTTCTCAGTGTAACCCCTATTCATCCAGAATGTAATGTAATGCTCTCTGCTGCTGTTCATTAACCAACATCTACAAACCATAGTACAAATTGATCAAGCTGGAAACTATTTCGCCTAAAAAATTTACACACAAAACCCCAAGTTTATGATATTAGGTATTGCAACTATGTCGATTCGGAAGCACCACCATTTTCCATATGGGAAAAGTCAGCACAAGAAGACGTTGGCCTTTCAGATTCCGGATTTTCAAGCTCGGCCTGCCACATTTTACAATTAATGCTAAGTCACAGTGCACAAATTTCGCCAAAAAAAAAGAACATCAAATGGATAGGCAATGTATTTGGCTATTAGATGTTTGAAATCTTAATCAGAAGCATCTTGATGTATTTATATAGCTAATGAAGCTGGAGCTGGATATATAGTTATATACTACCTCTATCCTGAACATTAAGGGTTTTTAGCGTCATACATTTAATATCACCAGATTTATTTAATTGTTCTTGACTTTTCATTTTGGCATAAAGATGAAATGATCTAAATATAAAGAAGACATGCTTGTAATTTTGAGACAAAACTTGGCAAGAGAAAGCAATTGTTTTATGACGCTTTTATTACCTTAGCTTGAAGATATTTTTCAAGAATACGCCGATATTGCTGACGTGCCTTTGGAGATTCAACCATAGACAGCACCCTGGATACAGCCTCATTAATAGCTGCGCCCACTTTCTGCTTGCGAAATGCCTTAAGAATGTCTTCATCGTCACTTTCATCAATGAATTCCGTGTTGAGCCGAAATCCCCGCAAACCAACTCCACGTCGGCGCCACCTCAGCACTACCTTCTCCAATATACCAGCTGCCCAACATACCTTATAATACCTCCTAACCTGATAGCCTCTCACATGGGCCTGCCATGAAAAGAACAAGATAAAAGCCCCACCTTATAACCTTTACCACTAATTCATTAAATGATTTGTTGAATTTGGTAATTTACTATCGCAAGTTGCATCATCATTTTGACTGGGGGCCCATCAAGATATATACTTGCCAAAGGGAATTCACATTGTTTGAACGTGACTTTTGTATCAACCGAGTTGAACAAAGAACACATTGTCAATGCACTTGCAGCCTTTAGCATTATTAATTTAGCAGATTTGTAATTTTTGGAGGACTACATCTTTAAGTAAGAGTTTTTTTCTACTCTCGTTATTTAATGTGTTCAATAACAAGGAGCCATCTGCAATGGAAGTTAATCTCAACCATTGTATTTTAATATGTAAACGAAAAGTCAACCCTCAACTTTTTTGTTCCAAACTTCACATCATCTACAAGTCAGTCAAAGTACTAATGATATTTCTTACTATAATGACTTGTACAGATGAAGTTAACGACTTAAATGGCATGTTTTAGGATGAAAGAACTTGATAGTTTTTTGAAGGAAGCATTTAATGAGATTGCATCATACTCGCCTGAGTTTCATACACCAGAAAGCTAAAAAATTCAGTGTCTTGTCGAATGCAAGTAATATGCTTGGGAAAAAGTGATGCACCTGTATCTTCACTACTTTCTGGCGAAATGCAAGGAAATTCTTCCGCCCTTTCCAGCCTCGATATTTCTTCTGAATAGACAGAGCAGCCGAGTTGTAGTCACGTGTACTGCGAAATGCCACTTTTGATGCTGCTGAGAGACCCTCGATGTCATTTGATAATATACTGTACTCATCTCCACTAGCATCAGCAATGAAAACTGTAGCTTCTCTCTGCTGCCTTTTCCGAAAAGAATGTGCACGAAATGCAGATTGAATACGTGCAGCAGCCTGAGAGGCATTCCGGACTGCAGCTAAGGTGCACTTCAGAGAGTCCTGGTCTTCATTGGTAGAGGAGCTTGTACTTGATATACTATTCACTGTTCTTTCTGCTTCCAGAGCTGCAGATCCTTTAGATAGCTCACTTTCTTCCAGTGTGAGGGATGAGAGATGGCCAGTTAGTGCCATTTCTGAAAGATAACCTGCAAGTCCCCTGTGCCCACTTGCAGCAGCAATGGCTGCCGGAGTTTTACCAGTTGGATCCTGTGAATTAGGATCCGTAACTGCTCCAGCAGATGCACCACAGGCTATGAGAGCAGCAACAAATTTTTCCCTGTCATAAATATAACATTTTAAGTAAATCATGCTTTCCAACAATAATAAATACAATTTACTAGAGAAAGTCTTCCATTGGTGGCACTAGCATAAAAAGCAAGAGATTCATTTTTTTTCCTCCCCTTCTGTTCACAAAATCAACCAGATTGAACAAAACTAGTGATAACTGATCCGCATATTTGTGCTGATTGATTATGCAATAACAATACCTCAATCTTAATACTCTAAAACGTGTGTTACTAATCCCATTTGGTACTGAAGGGAAGATTAGTAGTAGAGGGACCAAAAGTCTTTAACTTAATTCGGTTTGAAGTACTACTGAAGAGTTGATGACATCATAAGTTGGAGCTACATTTCCTTCAACCTTTTACAATGTAATTCAAGAAATTCCTTTGTATTTTTAAAGTAATATTTTGAGTTAAAAAAATATTCCAAACAAGAGTTAAATGCAATTCATTGTGTAAAAGTGCCAAATGTCATGAAACTGACAGATATCCATGAAAATGGAAAAATAAAATAAGACTTACCTCCCAAAATGTGCGGCCCAATGAAGTGCAGTCCACCCATTGATATCACGAAAATTTATGTTGGCTCCGGAATTGAGAATTGGCTGTAGCGCCCACTCAAATCCTAATCCAGCAACCATGTGTATGATCCCTTGTTCTTTCTTAGATAAAGAAGAGTCCGGCTGATTATTCTCTCGTAATCTAGAAGAAAGCCATAGTTCCAACCTGTCTTTCAGAAGTTCCTGTAGAAGCCATTCCATAGTGTTTGATGATGTAGAAGTGCCAACTAAAAGAGTATCAATGATTTGGCTCCACGAGGCTTCAGCCTTTTTGGACTTGTTTGACAAATCAATTCTAGATTCAGGGTCATCTCCTTTTTGTACCAATGGATCAGAGAGAAGCATCTGCACAAATCGGACAAGCAACAAGAGTTCTTCTGGACTCTTTCTAGTCCCTGTCTCAGTGATGTTACTGTGTGTGCAAACACTAGGCTTAGCACGATATTCGAATTCCCTAACTTCACTGCAGGACTCCCGATTTCCTGAAGTAATGTAAAGAGTGACTTTTCCTGGCAAGTGAGGAGGAACATTGCAGCGGATAACACCTTGTTGAATGATCTGGGCAGGAACTTCAATGTCACCAAACATACAAGCCCATGCACACTCTGAGGGACTACAGAGGAAAGACCCAATAATGACAACCTGCAAAGTAAAGTTTGAACCTTGAAGAGCCATTTTCAAAAATCAGTGGTGACTTGACAAACTCAAAAAAAAAAAAAAAATTCAAGGATCACATATTCATATTGTTTGATTCATGTCATATTGCCTAGATTTCAGGGAAATCCAGGGTGATCATAAGCATCCCAATCCATGAATTTGTAACACATTGAGATAGGAAGAATTCGTAGGTTGTATACTGACATCCAGTCGAGTCAAAAGAGTGTGGCACATTTCTATATCTAAGAAAAATTTTGGAGAAAGATAGCTTAAAGCCAGCATGTTTATTTTGCAAAAGCGTGAAAAGATTTTCAACTAGAGAAGTTTCAACCGTTCAAGTTTTGGTTAGTTTGTACACTGTTACCCCTCATTTTTCTTGAAGGGTCCTTTATTATCTTCGTACCCAAAACAATGAATTCAACTTCATTAAGTTATACTGTCCCAAAGAAAATTATTCTCACTCACTATATCCCATAAGTAGTAAACACGAAGTCATGAACAGAAAATCACACGCACTTATGGCCAACATGCACCAACATAAAGCAAAGAAAACGAATGAAATAAAGTAATGAGTACACCTAAATAGGCAAGCAAATATTGTAGTCCATTTGACAGAACTTCTACTTTTACTTCAACTTCTTATAGAAAGCTTTCTATAAAGTTATCTTAGGTCAACTTCCTATAAAACTTTTCTAATAAGACAAAGCACTTTAAAAAAGTTATCTAAACATGTTCACAAACGGCTTATCAATCTCAGAATCATCTATTGTTGTGCCAAATGGACCTTAATATTACGATGTGATTGAGAAAAAACTTATGGATTCCTTAACTTCTATTCCTATTTGAAATCCTGAAAGGCTGTTAGTAGACTCTTTATGAATCCACGAGAGCCATGAACCTAGTGTATATATGCATGATGCTTTCGAATTATTGTTATCTCAAACAAACACACATTTTATGGCTTTCAATAAGAGTACTAAACAAAACAACAGAAAAAAGGTTTCTGGTCAAAAGGAAGAGCCAGTGGAGGGGCCTGCCGAGAAATAGCATGGAGTGACTGATGTAGGATTACAAGGTAAAATAGTGGGGAAGAGAACACAGAGAGCAAGAGATAAGCTTTTCTTTTGAAGTGGTCTCTTTCCCTACAATACTTTTGCTGCATGCCACCGTGATTCTATTAAGGAATCAGAATTTCTGGCCATGCCCTATCTAAAGATGAATTTTACTCTCATTTTGAATTTTGTGGGAACAGCAAATATAAAAAGGAAAACCCCATCTTTACCTTTATTTACTTTCTTTGACAAAAGAAAATTCTGCGTTCCTGGTAGGAAGAGGGAATTTGTTTGACTGATAGATCTTCCAAGTTTGAAACGTTGGAATATATAGCTAGTAGATGCAATATTCTATGTTTTTTTTTTTTTTTATCCTATCGTACCAAACACATTATAAAGAACAAGAAAACTCGTGCAAGTTAGAACGATTGGGTGTTCGAATTTTGTTCACTGGTATAGCTTTCAAGTGCTGAAATTTGTGACAAGAGAAGTAGGTAAAAAGTCTCTAGGGAACAAATTGGGGCCTTCAAAATTAAATCCTCATATATAGTTTACTTCTATTAAATTTTTCTTCATTTATGGACAATCAAGATCATCGTCCACACTCCAACCATCCAATATTGAATCAAGAAAAGAAGTTTGATGCCAACTACAAAGTCCTTACTTTAATATAGACAATGACACTAAACAAACTGGTTTGGGACTTTCGACTAAGGCAAACGAGCGTCGACCCCTATGGCAAGTTGAGTTCACAAAATTTCGTAGACTCTTCAAGAAAATTAATAAACTTATTTTTGATTCTTTGAATGAGAACAATTTCTACACTTGTGAGATAGAGCTCTATGTAACAAGAAAGGATGGAAATAAGAAACTTACTAAGCAGAAAATAAGTGGGAAAAAATTGTGATTAACCAAATAAACACATCTGCAGGGTGGAAAGTCACAGATCGTCTAAGGCGATTTGAGCGGAGCAGAAAGGAAAAAAAAAAATGGACACATTAAACAACTAACCATAAAGTAATAAATCAGCTATCTTATATCGTCTCCAAAGTGGGAAAAAAAATCAGCTAAGAGAAACGTGGTCAGATTTCCGCTACCTCACACAAGAACAATCAACAACTACAACATTTAACATCCTTTAGAAGATATGCAAATATAAGACGAACCCAAAATACATGCATATTACTACTCAAATCTGCAGGTAACTGACCTTATTTTCCAAAACATATTGAAAGTACTCGTATGCATTACAAGCCATAAATGGTTTGCTAGCTTGTATAATATCAAATATGAATAAGCTGTGATTCATGAAATAGCTTCTAATATAAATTTGGGTTTCAAGAAACGTACTTTGACAGCATCAGAGGAATAACACCACTCTGGAGATATCTCACGGATTGTGAACTTCTGCTTTTGGGAAATGGTCAAACTGAAATTGTCTTCAAGAGGGATTCCAATCTGACTTTGGTCAAAAAATGTTGGATAGCAGTCCAGATTGTTACCATAAGTATTCACTGAAGGAGAATATGCAGGAATTTTGATAGACTCTACTTCTTGGGTAAACATCATAAAAGCTGGCAATAAAAAAGAGTTGTCATGGCACTTTAAAACCCCAAGAGTCTTTCTGAATGAAAAGTTTTCGTTGAGAAAAACTTACACTCTTGAGCATAACCTAGTCCATCAAACTTTAGCCAATTGTAACTTTCCTGCTCCCTTACTGCGTCATTTGGAGATAAATTGAGTAGCATACCCTGTGGTAAGTGTGACTATGTTAACATAACAGACACATCAAGGTTTCCAATTTTTAGCCTAAAATGTTTAATGCCAAAAAACATATTGCTACTGTGATTCAAGTTAACTCTATATACTTCCGCATCATGTATCTGTTCTAAGAATGCAGGGCGTGTTTCTTCTATAATTATGTGAATTCATTACCTATTAATTTGATCATTAGTGTTCATTTGCACTATGAATTTTCTAATTATAGTTTTTAACTAACAAAATCAAATAAACAAGCTAATTATCAAGCAAATTCATACATTTGTTCTTTCAACTATCTCAATATTTTTAAGCCTACATCCTTTTCATTTGGAATGCGTTGAGTCTATTAAAATCAAGGCATAGAAGGGAAATAACAGAACAAAGATATTCCTAGCCACACAGAAAATAGAAGACAGTTTATTAGAAAATCAAGCCAAGAACTTATGCAACAAAGTATCTTATATACTCAGAAATATGTTATACATTTTTGTGAAGGCCTAAATATCATTATAGAAAATCTTTAACAATTCAGTTATTGACACGACTAAATCAAGGCTTAAACCCTGAAGTCATAAGCTTTGAGTTTCCTAGTGAACATTGCACAAGGAATGCCTGAAAGCATAAGCCTTAAGCCCTTTTGAAAACAATACTTACTATATTATGAATATGCTCATTCTTAACCTATCCCATCTAATTTTACAGTAGATTCATCTTGAAAATTCTTGTCTCAGTTTCACTCAATGAATGTGTGCGTTAGTTCTTCCTAGCCAACATTTCTGTGATATAGAATTCCTAGTCCTATTGAAGTTAAATAACATTTCACTTTTTGTCTTATACTAATTCCAATCATACAAAATCTCATATGCATTTCTTTATAAGTCCAACCAATCCATGCTATGCAAGTATCATCATCTCAAATTTCCAACTCCCCATGAATGACTGGCAAAAGTGTCAAATCTTCGAATTTTCAGTCACTTGGTAATCCCCACATTTAATGCCTCTCACATGTACTCCTACCTTGACTAAAACCACACCCCAATAAAGATAACATGTAAGAAAAAAAAGGAATTTGAATCAGAATTGGCTTTTCCAAAAGAATCCGAATAGAGATGAGTTTAAATGCCTAGAGGTGACTAATCAAATTATACTGCTATTTCAAAAATGTTAATTTTGACCGATCAAAAATACTAAAAGGGAGAGTGTTCTTGACACTGCATGGAAAAGGGAGAAACATTTTACCTCATTCAACACGTTTTATCATAGAATCACAAAATGGTTATAAGCCATCAAAACTAAAGGAAGGATATTGTCGAGTTGGAGATGAAATGATAAGAAAATAATACTCTTCTCACATTTTCGTTCAATTTGTGCTCATATTTTTCTTGCGTTTCAACATCAAGCAAACTTTTAGAGCTACCTAGCATCTCTCCCCATATATTGACTTCAGGCCCTGGGAGTTGATGGGGATGTTCCATCCTGTCACCTGCAAAGTCATACCCCATTAGCAGCTGTTTTGACCCACTTCTGTTTCTATAACATAGAAAGTCACTAGTGGACGACCCTTTAATTAAATAAATAACTGAAATGAGATACACCTGAGTGTCTTTGTGAAAGAAGATTCTCTGAATGATCTGAAGTTTGAGCAGACAAGTCATAAGCAAGTAGCACATTTTCTAAATCAACTGAGTCCTCATTCTCAATGTAGATTGTGTTAAATTCTCTATCCACTTCATCATTTAAACTTAATTTCTGTTCAATTTTTCGCAGTGCTTCACTTAAATCAGACTCCGATGAACTATTAACCTCCGTTCTCTCTATAATGTCTGATGGATATATCCCATGAATCTCGATGACTTCATTTAAACCAGTTTTCACGGATGCAGGACTAGGCTGGCTCTGATTTGGTTCATTAGATTCACCAATGACAACAGAGGAGTCTGGCTGCTGAGTTGCAAAAGAGGTGGAACTTAGATTGAGGATCGAAGAGGATAATGGTGAGGACTTTGATGTCAATCTAGCATTCTGTGTTCCCTATAACTCAAAAAAATTGGATGTGTTATCTTACTGCTCAATTTATAAAAATATATATATAAATGTTCTTGTTAGTTACAGCCACTGTGCATGGAAGTAAACTGATAGGATACCAACTGGAATGAACTAGAACAATTGCTGAATAAGGGACTTTTTATTGAAACAAGAACGGGTACATGAAATGAAATGATAACCAAAGCCTATAGAAGGCTGTAACCGAGAACAAGAACAGTAACCACTCCCATACTCTCTTCATAATCCCCCCATATATGGCTAATTTCTGCCTATATTTATAGTTAACTTCTAACAAACCTTTCCCTCCAATTTCCCCTCTCCAACAGATTTTGGTATTTCCACCCACTTGCATGTTGTTCTTCTTCTAGGACCTTCTAGAATAGGTGGGGGTGGATAGGAGTCTATCATAAACATGGTTCACATGTCCAATTATCATCTACAGGAAATAAATGGAATAATACACAAAATGAAAAATGTGCTCGTGCATTGTGGACTCTGAACAAACTGCCCAGTGCCAACCGCAAAGACTGATATTAGATAAAGTTCAACTTTGGCTCCCTGATACAAGATTTTAACATGAAGAAAAGTAATTTCTGCTGCAACAGTAGGAAACATTGCCAGAATAGCAATTTTGCTTAAAGTGTCAGGTAAATCACTGCAACCTATCGTGAAAAGCTGTGAGTTATACTAATTAGAAGACAAAACAATAAAAAATTATAAGTTCAAAACAGAACTGTATGGATGTGGGTGTCACTGGGGCATTTCAATTAATATAGACTACAGAAAGGAAAAGAAACTATAGAAAGGAAAAAGAAGAAATGTACTGGTAAGTGAAATCGGTTTATGTACTTTCTCCATGATTAGGCTCAGGAAGACTCACCTCCCCAATATCTCTGTAGTGAACAAGAACAATGTGCTCGTAGGCCCTGCTCAAACCCAAGAATATATTAATTAAAAGTAAGAATCATAAGAGTTGGAAAGGAAAATAGCAAACCAACTTTACAGCCCACTTTTATCTGAGAATAAAACAGATGTAAATTGTTGAAAGCTTATTTAGGGCTGACATTTGTTTCTATCTTTGTGCAATGAAAACCCACATTTATCTAACTTACAACTTTGACAAGTAAATGTGAGCAAATTAACATCAGATAAATATCCAAACTCACGGGTCCAACATCCAGAAGCTGCGTCTCTGAAAGCTAGGGTTCTGCTCTCCACGAGCATAATAGCAATTTAGAACTTCAGCATTTCCAACCTAACATAAGAATAATGTCAGTTTAACAAATTAACATTAAATGAGATGATATTATTAAACTCCACAAAACTCTAAACAAGGCTTCATCACACAGAGCAGACACCAACAAGAGATGATAATGGAAACACTTGAGATGAATCTCGTCACTGACATATTGTCACTTAGGTTATGATGGCCTGTTCTTTAGAATAGCCTACGAGCTAGATGGCCACGTTAGCCACAGAAACATGGAAAAGGCTTGAGCACGCATATATCCATAATTCCAAAGAGACTGCTTTTGCAGCTGTGATATCAATTTATGATAATTCTACAAATTATCATATCATAAAATTTATGCCTTGAAGACCGAAAAATCCTTACCTTTCGCACATATTGTTCTGGAACTGTTACAATTTCTTCATAAGAGAAATAATTTTATCGAAGTGTATCAGCAACAATGAGAGCTAGAAATTCAGAAAAAGTAAGGAAAAATGAATTACTTTTAAAAGATTCAAATAACTAACAAGTTTTTCACTAATTTCTGATGGCTGCAGATTAAATTGCATAAATTTAGGAAACAGATTTCTTTATTCATAAGAAAACTTCTTCAACTGATTGATTATTTTGTTTTATTGGTAGTTCCAAAAGAAGTAGAGGCAATAGGAGAATAACAACCTTAAGTCTTTCATGTGCTTCAGCAACAGTCCTCTGATCTTTCCTCCTACGCCAACTATGACCGTCTTTCCGAAAATTTTTTAGGACTCGTTTATTGAATAGATACAAAGATCCACCTATTTAAGTTCATACCGTGTGATGGAAATAAAATAAAGATGGTGTAACTGGCATAAAATGGGATAGAGTTGCACAAAAATGAGAGGGAGAAAGATGAACATTACTAGCTGGCATGTGAGGGAACTTGTGGGTGATCTGGTGCTCCTCATGATTCTGAAGTATGAAAAGCACTTCAACTGGCTTTAGCCACCGAATTTGAGCTTCCCGAACCAGATAATTGATATCATATCCTGAAACTCAGAGAATGATTACATAACCATAACTTCATTTGTCCATGGCGCCACTAGCTATCAATTCAACTTATTACATTAGAAAGATAGCAAGACAGTGCCACTAGCAATTAATTGAAATTATTACATATCAAAAGAAGAAACATCGTAGAAAACTGCATTTCCAGGAACAAATAAATGATCGGAACAATTGGCAGAAAGTATACTCCTTTGAAAAATATATTACATTGACAAGGAAAGAAACATTCCAGATGGTTTTTTAGTCAAGTGTGAAAAGGGCTGCCTAAATGAATACTACTGAGAGTCAGAAGAAGATAAAAGAGAAAGTACACACACATTTTCTTCAAATTCCTTCAAAGTTCAAACTGCAAATTTCAAGGTGGAATATCTGACACTCTTTGTTTACCATTTGGCTAAAAAATGAACATACCAGACATTTGCTTAAGGCTATTAAGGGTTTTACTCTCAATGGCTTTTATGAAGCCCAGAACCTCCCCATCAAAAGTTAAACCTTTATGACCTATCAGTATCTCCATCAGTCTTTGTAACTGAGATAGTGCATTTACTATATTTCCTCCAATTTATCTAATTAACAACCTTATTGTTTTGGATGCTAAAACCATCAACTCTGAAAAATAAAAGCCGGGCACTCTTGAGCTATACTGCTCACATAGATTCTTAACAAAGCAGGATACCCAAGTTTCTGAACTGTCCTCCAAATTTGAACAACATAAACTCTATTTGTGTATAGTTTCCATTTTTCACAAGCATTCTTCTTGTTAACAATGAAGAAGCAAAATACTGGAATTACGACAAACAAAAAGGGTAATGCTGGAGAAATATTCAGGATCAAAAACTAATGAAATCAAGTTAACACCCAATAATAAAAGTGATAGATATTATTAACGGCAAAAATGAACGTAATTTAAGTAATATAACACCATACAAATATTTTTACTGCAAATAACACTTGAGCGACAGAAATTAATCAAATCAACAAAGTTATAAAACTAAAATAAGGAGCCAAGGATATCATCTCAGCCGATTGTACTGAAAAATAAACAAAAGCAGTAATTTCAGGAAAAACACTTCAATTATGAACATAACCTATTGAAATCTAGTTGGACACGTTATAAGATAAATTTTCAGAGAACATTGAACGCAAAAATGCACGAAATTCACGTAATTTCAGCAAAAATATAACACCGTACACAAACTATTACAGCAATTAACACTTGAATTACAGTTATTACCACATCATTAAACTTAAATAAGGAAGAAAATAAACCATCTGTCACCTTGCATCGTACCAGTCATGCTCAAAAACAAAAACAACGGTAATTGTAGGAAAATCACTTCAACTTAGATCATATTTTCTCCAGTCGCCGCTGTAGAGGAAAGAGTGAGAGACGAGTTAAAAAGGAAAGCTCTATAATTGATCCTTTACACCAAGAATACGAAGAATCTGCTGTGCAAAAAACTGATCGTTAACATCCTAATCACGTGTGGTTAAAGGGGAAATATGCACTTCTCGTCCCTAACCTTCTTGAAAGAAAGTATTTCTGTTGACTCATACATGACCCGAGTGTTCCTCCTCCGAGGCTGCCTTGCTTGAGAAGCTCCGAGTTTAGATAATGCAGTAGCCATTAAAGGTAGGAAGGCTTGATCGAGGAAGGGAGACGACGTGAAAGAGACAAAATTAAAGTTGAATTGAATTTTTATTCAGAAAGTCAATACATTAATTGATGTGTTACCAATGACTTAAAAGCAAGACACTATTCCTTTACATATTAAAAGACCTCTAAATAAATTATTAATAAAGTTGACGACCCGTTCAAAGCTTCAATAAATTAATTTCATGAATTCTAGAAACTTTAACAACTTTCATGTTGTCTTATTTTATTTCATCCTTTTTTGTCAAGCGGAAGGAACCCTTCATCCATGCGGAATTAATTTCACAAAAAAATAATCAAGACGTCCACACTGTTTGGTCAAATTAAGGTGACTTCTTTATTCCGTTCCTATCTTTGACCTCTTTACAAACCAGGTCAAGTCGATTAGTAGACCTTAATAAACATGCTTGAGTCAAATTGCATGTTTTAATTCAAATCGAAGCTGACCTGACCCAAAACAAATTTCATTCTTGTTACACTCCCATCTGAAACACTTCGGAAAGTCTACCACCGCGCCGTACGAGGTGTGCAACACCCATCCGAAGTGGTTCCGAAGTGAAGCCATCATCTGCTAACACGGCAAGACACAATCTACTGAACTGACCGTGGCGTCCTCGCCCCGCCCCTGGATCCAAAGCGCAGCTTAAACTGAAGCTCTCTGCTAGAGAACCCGTCGCCAATTTCAAAAAGAGATTTATGTCAAGATCCTTTCTGCTCCAAAGATTCAATTAATTTGACGTCTCCACGAGCCTAGTTGACGTGACGTATCAACTTTATGTTAACTCAATTCGGGAGAAGTAATTACCAGTCCACTCTATAGATGCGGTCGATTGACGCCTATGAGTAGACGTCTCACACCGTCAAATGCGTACACGTGTCCCACATCCAACGATTCTCCTCATCTAGAAATACCCAAAGTTTGACAAGAAGTAAAGGTAATGAAACTCTTACAACATAGCTTTCCATAACAAGCAAATATATATTCTCCTCCTCTTTATTTAGCACAACCTTGGTATTGTTCCGACCACCTAAGACTAACTTGACCATCGAAGTGTATGCTGCTGCCACCACTCCCGTTGGTTCTGGTCGTGTGCATCTGACCGTGTCTTGATTGTGCGTAGGGAGAAATACGTGGAGTAACTATCAATTGGCCACGTAAAAGGTCCAATTTGCGAAATCAACAATTCTCAAAACCCAAAAACAATTTCACATACATACAGATGGATCCAGCAAATGATCTGTCTTCTCCCCAAACACAGTCCTCCATATCTTCTTCCGATCTGGACACTGAGGTGCAATTTTCTTACCGCAACACCATCAATTTTTCATGGTTAAGGTTTATTTACATTTTGGGTTTGAGTGTGTGAGTAACTTGTAGTCTACAGGTTCATTTTTCCGTGAAACAACTGTTGTAACATAAAAATAAAGTTAATTTTAATTTTCAATTTTTTTTATTTAAATTTTTTCAATTTTGATTTTAATATTAACTAGAAAAATGCATTATCCTCTCAGTGATTAGGCAGCTCTACACGAATAACTTGAACAGGTAGCTACACGAAAATAGTGAAGACATAGGAAGAAGATGTGACATGCAACAAATGCTAGCATGATTATTTTTTAGACTCCTATAATTAAGAGACGTAAGAACTCCCTATTTCTCCGCTTCTCTCTCCATATT